AAAAAAAAAAAAAAAAAAAAAAAAAAAAAAAAGAGAGAGGAAAGATCAATTGAGAGAAACATTAGACTTTTGTTTCTTGTTATCAATAAGAGATGCATCAATGGAATATTAATAACCATATTCCCAAATAATACAGTCTGGCTTCAAAATCGAATGGGAGAAAGAAAAAACACTAAATGCTTCAAGGAAATACAGAGTTCTAATGATATCTTACTTGAACATAGATCGTGCATCCACGACGAGCTTATTTGCACATAAAACAAACACTGCAAAGCCAATTCAGAAAGAAGCAATAGTTAGTATACGGATATTCCCTTTTGTTTTGGGATAGTATACATCAGACCTTTTCCATCTTTCAAAAGATCAGATTTCCGCTGCATTTTTGGGGTGCGGAATCTGGGCCTTCCAATTGAGAGTAAAAATAATCCAATTTAAACAGGAAAATTGCAATTCCAATACCATGAGTCAAATGCAGATTACCAAAAACTAAATTATCCTCTGGACTTCACCTTTACTCAAATACTCAAATTGAAAGCATACCATCTTCTTGCGTAAATTTTGTTGAATAAATAAGTTTCTTAAATAAATTTCACAAAAAAAATTGATTTCATTCCTAATTTAAATGAGAAAAAAAAATGCAAACCAAAATTTCCCAATTAATTCTTAAATATATTGTTTCCAAAGATAGAAAACCCATTCGAAACAAGAAATTTTATCAAATCAAATCTTAATTTAATAAGCACCCAATAAAATTCAGAACCATATCTGAAAAAGCAATATTTAGCTCATTCCTCGTCAATTCAAGTTACAAATACATAATCATGTAAACCCGCATAATAATTCAAGAAATAAAAAGGGAAATTTACAAATCAGTACTTACAGATTACAGAGATTTTATCCAGCTCACTTGAGTCTCCTTGTGCTTATTCCATTACATGGTTTAATCTTATTATAGAAATTCTATACTCACGACTCATGTAAATTGTGAGGTAGGATGATGTGGGGTGGGTTTTGTTCTCTCGCGTTGCTAAGTCGCTCAGATGAGTTTTCTGGGACTCCATTCCAATTTTAATGAGACATAAAATTTTTCCTTTTATTTTAAATAAATGCGTATTCTTAAAAAAAAAAAATCATTAATCTAAAATAAATTTTTTACCCAAAATTTGATTTTAACGAAATCCATATAGGGCCTTGTGCATCACAAGATGACAAAAGCGTAATCTTAAAGCTCTCGATTCCACACAAAGTCTCGTCTCTATCAAATCTAGCCGTCAATATTTTGCTGCTCTTGGGACAGGGAGTACAACTCATCAGACAAGAAGGTACAACAATCGCAACGCAATAGTAGCCTGTTGAGTAGGTTTATTTCTTAAAGGTTGAACCACAACCTTGAGATCCCTATTGTCTCATCCCTGAAATATTGTGAAGGAGGTAAATAGCGAAATATGTTCTAACGGATCAGAGAACAAGAGTTTGTCCATACACTGGTATCCACAAAAAGTTCAATTCCATATCTTAGGAATCGAACACTCACACTGTGGCTGCAAGAGACTACTTCAATTCTGTCCTTTGCATCACTGGGTTATGTCCCGGGATGCGAGTAGGATTATTTCTTTTAGCTAACACACATGATTTCGCCTCTTTTACTTTTTAACTAGTAAGTGATGAATATGAAAGATTTCTAATTTCTTATAAAAAAGGGTGGCGATGGACTACTGTAGATGCAACAGTAAATTAATTCAATTTTAATGTGTGTGATGTCATTTTTCATTTTTGCATTTTCTGAAGATTTTTTTTTTTGTGATTTGACCAATATTTTTCCACATGCATCGTGCCATCATTATTAAAAAAATAATTTTAATATATATAAACTGCATGAGAAAAAAAAACTCACGACACTATGCGGAGAGTTGGAGACCATCTCTCCGCACAGTGCGGAGAGTGCAAATGGCTCTCCACACTGTGTAGAGAGTTTGGAGAAAACTCTCCGGACAGTGCGGAGAGTTGGAGTGCACACTCCGCACAGTGGGGAGAGTTGGAGCGCGGTCTCCGCACAGTGGGGAAAGTTGGTGCACATTCTCCGCACAGTGGGAAGAGTTGGAGAGAAATCTCCGCTCAGTGCGAAGAGTTGGAGCGTATTTTTCGCACTGTGCGGAGAAATTTTCTTTCTTTTTTTAGTAATTTTTTTCTTTTTTTTCCACTCTCTCTCGCTCTCCCTGCTTTTCTCCATTTTTAAGACAATATCTATTTTTCCCTACTTCTTCAAAATAGTATATATAAACTGTCATGAGCAAAAATAAAAATGGCAATGAGGCAAAGAATTTTGTTTACGAATATTCTTCAACACGCATCGTGATATCACCATTAAAAAAATAATATAATAATTTTAATATATATAAACTGCCATGAGCAAAAAAAAAAAAAAAAAAAAAAAAAAAAAAAACTCTCCGCACTGAGCGGAGAGTTAGAGTCCATCTCTCCACATAGTGCAGAGAGTTGGAGTGCACTCTCTGCACAGTGCAGAGATAATTTTTTTTCTTTTTCTCGGTAATTTTTTTCTTCTTTTTTTTCCTTTTTTTTTCACTCTCTTCTTCTCCCTACTTTTTTTCATTTTTTAGACAATATCTATTTTTCCCTACTTCTTTAACATAGTATATATAAACTGCCATCAACAAAAATAAAAACGGCAATGAGACAAAGAATTTTGTTTATAAATGTTCTTCCACATGCATCGTGCCATCACCATTAAAAAAAATAATTTTAATATATATAAAATGCCATGAATAAAAGAAAAAAAACTCTCCACACTGTGCGAAGAGTTCTCTCCACCTCTTCGCACAGTGCGAAGTCATTTCTCCATCTCTCCTCATAGTGCAGAGAGTTGGAGCGCACTCTCCACACAATGCGGAAAGATTTTCTTTTTCTTTTTTTTGGTAATTTTTTTCTTTTTTTTTCACTTTCTCTCTTGCTTTCCCTACTTTTCTCCATTTCTTTAAGCAATATCTTTTTTTTTTTACTTTTTCAACATAGTATATATAAACTGTCATGAGCGCAAAATAAATAAATAAAAGCTCTTCTCACTGTGCAAAGAGATTTTTTTTTGAGTAATTTTTTTTCCCTCTACCCCTCTCCCTCTTTCCCTACTTTTTTTTAGGCAATATATATTCTTCCTTACTTCTTCCTGCAACATCTATTTTTCCTACTTGTTTATACAACATTCATTTATCTTTCTTTTCCTCTTCAATTTTCAACCCATTTCTTTTTCACTCAAACTCCTCTCTCTCACTCAAATTGTAAAATTTTTACTCAATTCATATTTTATCTCTTAACATGTCATGTATTGATAGTTTACTATACTTCAGGTGTCTACGGCAGATGAAGTAGTGGATCTTCTGTTTCTTGGATCCGAGAAAAGGTTTTGACCTAATTTTTTTTTAAAACTTTTACGGTTTCATAGTAGAAGAAGCCTCTTGTTGGATGTTTGGTTTTCATTAATGATTATGTAATTAAAATTTTGAGAATTTTATCATGCTCTTGTTGCAGTTTTCGTAATAAATTTAATAAATTTCCTCAATATTAAGCTTTAGTTTTTGGCATCTTACGGCTCGGTGGTTGCCAGATGTATGTTCCTTTCAGTTTTTTCTTATGAGTTAAATTATGACTAATGTAATTTTTCTCTTTTTAATCATAGATTTCTTATATACTTTGGCTTTTCTTTGGCTTTTGCTGCTATTTTTTAATTGTTTTTTAATCTTCTTGTCCTACCTCCACACCTCTTCTTTTAATCATTTTTTTTCTTTTTTTGTACTTTCACCTACAATATTTTCTACTTTTGTTTATCCAATGTTAACCGTAGTCCTTCATTTGGGAGACGAGATATTTTGACTCTTGAGAATTTATTTTTATAAATGAATGGATGAACGCTTCTGCTGGAATAGCTTTCGCATCACACGCCTTATATTTTGGAGTTGTAAAGGTATATTTTTAAATTGTATTTTCTTAATCATCTGCAATGCATTTAAGTTTCTTTGTTATCAGGTTTTTCATTAATATAACTACGGAGTACTTGTTTACTTTTTGGACTGGCTATATGCTTTATGAGGAATATGGAAGAGTTACATCAATGCGGTTAAAATTTTTTGCTTCCCAAGGCAAGCATGCCGAACAATTATCGGTTAGTTAAATTTACATTGCTATTCTGATATCATGTATTTGCAAGAATGAATTATCGCAGTTAGTAAATAGAAGATGAAAGTTGTTTGATTTTTTGTTTCAAGGTACCTTATTATTTCATTGATTGGCTATAGATATCTATAGCAATTTTTTCAATTAAAAGTATAAAGAAGTGAACAAAAAAGTGAGTAAATGGTATACGAAATGGAGTAAACTTGATATTTAATGCTGCGCAAAGTGGATGCTTCTATTTCATTTTCTTGTCCACGTGCATTATGCTTCTCATTTAATTCAATTATTATAAAAATTCATTTCTCCATGGAAATTCGATTATTTAAGTTAATGTGTGTATTTACAATGTTTTACTATGGATGAGTGACATATAACATAATTGTCTCTTAAAATTGCCTTTTCGTTGTCGAATATGATGTCAGTGTTGAATATGTTGTTGCAATAACTGAGTAAAAATTTCTAGCATCCACATTTGTTCAACTCATTTACAAACATATCTCATACTCCCATGCAACTAACTTCCAATTGAAAACTAATCTATCAAAGGGTTTTTTTCATATATCCTTGGATTCATCATCACGCAACTAACTTGCAATTGAGTAAAAATTATATTAGACCACTTGTTTCATTTTCAAGTTTGTTGGTTGTGATGATTTCTTGCAAGCTGTAGTTTTTGATCGATCGAGTTTGACCTTTTCGTCAATTTTGCTAAAAATCATTGGACTAATTAGTGCTTAACTAGAATTAATATTCCTATAATCTGTGTGCAGTTGATGAGTCATTGTTTAGAATTTCTTTTGTGATGCATCTGATGAAAGTTTAATAGAGAAAATGGGTCCCATTGTTTAGAAAGTTAATAAGTCGTAAAGGATAGATTATTGAATTGAAGAGAACAATGTATGCAGACCTCCAATATTTTCCTTGATTTGGTGCAAGTTTTTTTTGTCAATATCTTAAGAATTTCATAGTACTCAGTTCAAACATAATGACATTACTAATACATTCAGCTTTTCTTACATACTTGCCTAAACTAGTCAACCACATACACTAGACAGTTTTTAATTTTTGGTTTAGAAGATAGTGATTTTTGAGACAGTATGAGCATTCTTTACTTTAGATTTATTTAACTAACAGCAACCATAAGTGTATGCATGAAGATTTTATAGATAGAGCATTGACGAAGTAATAATATGCTCCCAAAACTCTTGAATAATGCAATAAATCTTCAACATTTTTTTTAAACATTTACAATTTCTACACTAATAAAAACATAATAAATACAACATTTGTGCAACGCACGTGACAAAGACTAGTTAGAGGAAAAAGCTCGTTTGCCAGAATTTTTTTACCCACTTGATTGACACTCACTCATAAGCGTGGACCCCGTTTGAATAAAAAATGCAAAAAAAAAAAAAAAAAAAAAAAAGTGGG